GGGGGGCGCTGAATGAACCTATCTGTATCTGTGGCTTTTGTGTTATGTCCCTTGATCGTTCACTGTGCTCACGACTTGCCCTCACAAACACACCCATCCCTTGCTCACGATTACTTTGATTTGAACGACTGTTTACAGAATGCATTTTTGTCCCGACACTCCCCCTAAGCCCTTGACGATAATTTATTATCCCCTCTCCACTCTCAGCCGGCCTGGAAGTACGACTCTATAATATACAATATAGTACATCGATCTCTGCCCATCTGAAAGCCCTGCTCAACAATCGTGCCGCTGCAGTGCCACCCCTTCAGAATACTATGGAGGTCATAAATACTTTTGTCTAAGGTCTATACGTTCTTAAACGTACTCTAAGTTTAATCTAAGGCCTAGATCTATACGTCCTAATGCTCTGGGTTTAGTCTAAGGTCTATACGTTCTTATAAGCTTACTCTTGAGTTTAGTCTTAGGGCTAGATCTATACGTTCTAACGCTCTGCGTTTAGTCTAAGGTCTACAAGTTCTTGCACTCTGAATTTAGTCTAAGGTCCTTGGCTACAACGTAGCTGTCGTAAGAGAAGTTGGTGTCAATGTACGTATCTGTTATTTGGGTCAACTCATTTTCTGCTCACTTTCTAGCCGGCCTGTCTACCCAGAGTCCAATCTAGCAGTGTCTTAGTTTTAGTAAGGTTTTACGGCGCTCGCAACTGCATAAGGTCATATGAGCGCCAAGGGGTAGATGTCAACGGAGAAGTCCTTACATGGAATCAGACTTACTCTGCTCACCTCCCTAGCTTCAACAGCACAAAGTCTGTTTCGACTATCAAGGCCTCCGGGAAATAGCAGGTCACAAGAATGTGACAAACATACAAAAGAAGTAGAGGAAAATGACGATAGTAAGTAGTAAGTATGGAGAAAGAAAAAGCAGCAGTTCCCCCTATGTTGTTCTGGCACAGCATGAGCATGACCTTGATAAATCAGCCCATTTACAATTCTACTGTGCATAAGAACATGATAATATCCCC